TACCTCACGGCGAAGCGAAGAAGGAACGACGAGCAAGTAGATGCATGCTTCCGGTGGGTGAAAAGTTCTTCTTATAAAGAAAGTCATTCCGCAAGCAGTACGACGGCAGCCCTCTCGAAAATAACTTCGGCACGCTATTCGTTCACCCTTGTAGGTAATTTATGACTGGTAGTAGTTCAGGGTCATCGCGCTGCTGTTGAGAAAAAGCGGCAGTGTCCACAATCCCCAAAAAGGCCATGTCGTCGTCGTCATCCGGCGATGCCGTCCCAACAGAAGATCGAGAAAGACTGTCGGCATCGGTGTGTCGTTTTCCTGACTTGTAGGTAACAGTGAAGTCGAATTATTGGAGCCGAAGACTCCAGCATGCAAGACGGCCAGATGGATCTTTCAAGTTGATTAACCAACAGAGCGAGTGGCGATCGCTAATAACGGTGAATGGGCGGCCGTACAAATGAGGACGAAACTTCAGGACTGCCCACACCATTGCAAGACATTCTTTCTCCGCCGTAGTATAGTTAGCTTCTGATTGTGACAGCGTCCTGCTGGCGTAAGCGATCACCTTTTCCATGTTTTCCTTCGTCTCTAGGAGCACTGCTCGAAGACCCACATTACTAGCGTCCGTATGTAGTATTGTTAGCGCGTCTTCATCGAAGTGGGCGAGCACGGGCGGTGTTTGCATGCACTGACGAAGCTCGTGAAATGCCTGCTGCTGGCCTTCGCCCCATGTGAAGGGGATATCTTCTAAAGTAAGCTGTGTCAATTGATTGATATGTTGGGTTTAACGTCCCAAAACCACTATATGATTATGAGAGACGCCGTAGTGGAGGGCTCCGGAAATTTTGACCACCCGGGGTTCTTTAACGTGCACCCAAATCTGAGCACACAGGCCTACAACATTTCCGCCTCCATCGGAAATGCAGCCGCCGCAGCCGGGATTCGAACCCGCACCCTGCGGGTCAGCAGCCGAGTACCTTAGCCACTAGACCACCGTGGCGGGGCAGCTGTGTCAATGGCCATGCGATGTGTGAAAATTGGCAATAAACCGCCGGTAATAGGCACAGAGTCCCAAAAACTGTCGCACTGATTTTTTGTCTATGGCGTCGGGAAATTCGCCATGGCGGCAATTTCATCTCGGTCGGGTGGGATCCTTTGGCTGCTCACGACGTGACCGAGGAATGGAAGTTCGTGGAAGCCGAAGTGGCACTTTTCGGGTTTTAGAGTAAGACTGGCCAAGCGTATCGCTTTAAAAACTGCTTCAAACCTTTGTAAGTGTTCCTAGAGAGTAGACGAAAAGGCAATCCCGTCGTAGAAGTACACCAAGCAGGTTTGCCACTTAAGTCCCGAGAGAACCGTGTATATCAGACGCTGGAATGTTGCTGGCGCCGAACACAAACCGAAAGGAAGTACCTGAAATTCATTAAGTCCATCGGGCGTAACAAAGGCGGTCTTCTCGCGATCTCTCTCATCTACTTCAATTTGCCAGTAGCCGCTTTTCAACTCCATGGACGAAAAGTAGCGTGCGTTTCGTAGTCTATCCAATGAATCATCGATACGCGGCAGAGAATAGACGTCTTTCTTTATGATCTGATTTAGCTTCCGATAGTCGAAGCTGAAATGCAAGCTGCCGTCTTTTTTTTTTTTCACGAGTACTACTGGTGATTCTCAAGGACTGTTAGATGGCCGAATAATACTATCTTCCAGCACCGTTTTCACCTGTGTTTGAATTGCTTCACGCTCTTTTGGGGCGACGTGATAAGGATTTTGCCAGATGGGTCTGGCGTCGGAATCCGTGCTGATGCGGTGTTTCGTTAGGGCCGTTTGACGAACCCTTGATGTGGATGAGAAGCAGTCGTGGAACTTGATCAGCGTGAGAAGGCGGTCTCGCTAAATGGGAGATAACGTTAGACTAACGTCGACAGATGTCGGTGTAGTGATAGTAGACGCTGCTGCTTTCTCCACTGAATGACAATCTTCTACTTGAGTGAGTTCGTCGAAATATGCAATAACCGTGCCTTTAACTATGTGTTGGCGTTCTCTGCTGAAATTTGTCAACAAGAGTTCAGTGCATCCGTCAATAACAGTGACGACCGCCCTAGCAATAGAAATACCACTAGTGAATACGAGCCCCTTGATGTTTTCAGCGATGCCAGTACCGTTTTGTAAGATGTCGCAGTGCACGGGTACGAGAGAGCACCTTCGTGGCGACAGTATGACGTCGTCATCGGCAATACGGAAACGAGGTGGCTGGTGTTCCTCATCAGTAGCTGTGTGCGAGCTTATAGCGAACGTTACGCTTCTGTCGCGGAGATCAATCAAAGCCCCGTATTCGCGCAAGAAATCCATTCGCAATATGAGCTGTTTACAGCACTCGTGAAGAATGACGAGGGTGGCGACAAAGGCTGAACCAGCGATGAAAATTCAGGCCGTGCACTTTCCAACCGGTGTCATCAACTGACCTCCTGCAGTTCTTATATTGGGTCCACGCCATGGCATTTTCACCTTCTTTAGTTTTCGGCTAGCTGTAGGCTTGAAATATAAAAGTGGCAGCCAGTGCCCACAAGAGCCGTCACTTGGTGGCCATCAATGTGAACGACGAGGTCAGCGCTGATAACATCGGTTACGTCGACAGTTGTCTCATTCGTGAAATCAGTCGTTGCTGTAATCTTCTTCGGTATCGATGGCTTCGAGCTGTCATTTGTCTGCAATGGGGGCTGTTCGGAATTTCGATTATTGGCAACCCCACCCCCCGAAGTCGCTGCGTCTAGTTTTCCCGTCGCAGGCTAGGGGACCTGCCCTTGGTGACGTCGGCAAAACTGCGACGATTAGGTGAACTGGGCCGCGCAGGAGAGGGAGCACGTGATCTGGGCATTCCTGGATTCTGCGGCGATGTGTTCACAGGAGCCTCGTTGTACATGTGTCGATCGTCGTACGCAATGTAATCAGGGTAGCGAGGAAATCTCGAGTACTGAGCGTCGCGATAAAGGCAAACTCAGTAGACGTGCCCAGCTTCGCCACAATGAAAGCATACCGGTCGACGGTCAGCGGTACGCCACAAATCAATTTTACAACGCGGGTACGTAAGTGGAGACTCACTATTGGGCCACGTTGTGGAGCATGTTGGCTATGCGGCATTCGTCTTGTCGGAGGAATCAGTGAGGTTGCGAAAGTGGTCGGCGCTGAGACTGGCTGTGTTTGCAGGGTAGGTGGTGCTCCAGTCATTGGAGTTCGCTGTGCCGAAGGCACCACGACGGGGCGTCGGACTGCATCAGCATAAGTAAGATGCCCTCGCACATCACCATAGCCGGATGAAGAGAGAGCCTGACAGACCTCATCCCGGACAACATCAGCGACAAAAGACAGTGCTGGCGTCGGTTTGGTTGCTGGAATTAAAACAAGCTGCCGAAGCTCCTCCCTCAAAATCTCCCGGATGACTTCCCGCAGAGGCCTGTCGTTGTCGGAGAGGCTCACCGCAGCCGTAACAGGACTACTCGTTCGAAAGTTGACCGGGTTCTGCAGGCGGTACCGTTGCTGTAGGGCCCGTTCATTAGCTGTGGCTTCTTTCGTGAATTCAGCTACTGTGGTTGGTGGATTTCTCACAAGCCTAGCAAACAGTTGCTCCTTCACGCCTCGCTTTAAATATCGCCGCTTTCTGTCTTCCGGCATCTCGTGATCTGCCCTGCCGAAAAGACGGGTCATGTCCTCGGCGAACATAGCAACGCTCTCATTTGGTTTTTGAAATTGAACTTCCAAAAGGCGTTGCGCATTTTCCTTTCTGTCGAGACTAGTAAACGTGTCAACCAGCTGGTTGCGGAAGTCGTCTAACATAACCAAGCTTCTTTCCCAGTTGATGTACCACGTCTGGGCGTTGTCCTTCAGGTAGAAGTACACATTCGCAAGCTTGTCTTCTGGGGTGGCCCACTGGTTGTACTTCGCACATCGTTCGAACCGGTCCTGCCAGTCTAGGGCGTCTTCATAAGTCTCACCATGAAAACAATCTCGAATCACGGGATTCTGTAGTGTCATGTGCACTGAAGCTGCAGTGGCCATGGTGGTTAAAGGAGGCAAGCGATTGCTGGTGGTTTCTCGCAAGAGATTGAGCTCATGAGCCAGGCCTAGCAGACGGCGACTGATACAGTGGACCGGTGTGTCGACGAGTGGTAGTGATTCCGGGTTCAAATGTCGGGTCCGCAAAGGGGTGCCAAGCATAAAAACTACCCAGCACGTCCACCAGTGTGACTACGCGGGATCGACGAGCACACAAAGAACCTCGAACAAATACGCTTTATCAATCACAGGACAAAGACTGCAACGTCTTCTTTGTCTCTGCTCTCAGCCAAGGACACTTGCGCTGCTTCGTTGTCACCGCCACTGGCATATACGCGCGTCAATATGAT